AACAAACAAACGAGCGACAAACTAAACGAGCCGTTCCCATTATAATCAACAGATCTATCTACAACACACGCGAGCGTGTCGATTAAACAGAGATGTAAACAGACTAGTTAATTATAATGGCAGCGCACTAGCTAGCTTAGCCGGTAGCGTAGAACGACATCCATAACGTAGACCACAAATTCAGGGCGAAACATCAAATGTTTTAGTTGTCTCAGGACTATCTATAAATACAATACTGCATCGAGTACCTGGGGTTGTAGGCCAGCCATTATTAATATCGGTCTAAATTCCAGTCATCTATTAATGGCTCCGATTCTACCGGCATACATCCTGCTCGTGTTCCGATTCGTGAACGAATCCTTCTTCTTTTGGTTTTATGGCGGGTTGCGAACCAACATTTCTTCCTCTTTTCCACATTATTCCATCATCAGCATATAAAGCCGTATTAATTCCTGGAGGCACTTCTTCAAATACATCATTAATCATAATGTTAAATAATAAAGGGCTTATCACACTCCCTTGAGGTGTTCCTTCTCCTTCTCCTTCTTCTTCTTGTTTTATGGCGGATAACTCATTAGGAGCATTATCGCCACCTATTGTACTGGATGTCAAGTAAACTTTCATAGGTGATGAGTCTGAAATTTGAGTTAAAAAAACAAAACAAATGGTGGATGTTTCCTATTCTCTCCAATCTATGGCGCACTCAGATCACATGCTCATGCTAGCGCTGCGTGTTCAGCTCCTCTAAAACTCACAATTAGCTATTCATGCCCCAGATTAGGTAGACTGAATCGTTCTTCTTCTTCTTCGTCTTCTTCTTCTTCCCTTTTTTTGGCGGATCGCACCAATTCGCTCATTACCGCCACCTACTGTGAACTCGATCCAGAGACTCTAATTACGTCCCCCTCCCCATCCTCCTCGTCTCAATGAAAATCTATGCTACAGCCAGCGCTGCGTGTTCAGCATCCTATTCATTAAACCTGTTCTCCAAATATTTAATTAAAGCTGCTTTGTTATTACTTCTCTGTTCTGGGTTTAACAGGTACCTCAAATTAATTTCAATGTCCTCTTTCCTCTGAACCTCTTCTAATAACTTTTCTCTATCATCTTTATACTTTTCACAATACATGATAACATGTTCTACCGTTTCGTTTTTTTTCCACACCATTCACAACATCCTGTCGGACGCTTGGACATTAATTGCATTGTTTTATTAAGTCATGTATGTCCTATTCGAAGTCTGGATAAAATGTTTTCCTCTCTTCTACTTCCACCTGACTACCTACTTTTCCCCACTTTTGGCTGTATTTCATACATATGTCTACCTTTATTTCCTGTCTCCCACAGTTGTTGCCATCTTTGATTTATTTGCTTTTTAATTATAGCTTTAATTTCATATCTACTGTATGATATTTCCATGTCTATTCTAGTGGCCCTCAGAGCTTGTTTCGCCAGTTTGTCTGCTGGTGGGGCTTTCACCCCCACGTGAGCTGGAATATTACGCTCACCCTTTTATACGTATATAATTCTTGCAGAATTTCCACTACTAAATCCTGCCTAGTGTCTGACTGTTGTGCTTCAATGCACATAAGAGCAGAACTGGAGTCTGAACATACTACCTCGTCCTTTAATCCTGCCTCGCTTATCCATCTTAATGCCATCATTATTGCTATTAATTCCCCTGAAAATACTGATGACTTATTTCAGATCCTTACCATTCTGGATATTTGCATTTTTGGAATGACAGCTGCTACCCCTTTCTTGTTCATTATCTGGATTTTTTGATGCATCTGTATATAATTGTGTTTTATGTCCATACTTTAACCACAGGTATTCCCTTACCTGGATCTCCTCTAGTTCACTCTGGCCTTCTTTTTTCCTATGTTCCAGCATTCTTAAATCAACTGAAGGCTGTGGCAAAATCCACAAAGGGACTGCTGGTAAAACCACTCTTGGAGTAACACTTAACTCTTTAATAGCCAACTCCTTTACTAAATCTCCAACCACCCATTCAAAACTATTACATTCCCCTTTTCCATACTCCCAACACTGCTCTAGTACCGTTAAAGGGTTAGTTGACTTAGTTCACCCAAAAATGAAAATTAGCCCACTTTAGCAAAAGAAAACCAGTCTCCTCTTGGCTTATATCGAAATCATCCTACATTCTTCTTTACAAATCCTCGTTTTGTACTTCTAATAAGTGACCGGTGTTTTGTTTTGATCTCTCCCCTGCGCTTCCTCGTTCGTCACTTCTGAGCGGCGCATGCCAACGCTGAACTCATACGTAATCCGCCCGGAGCTGCTTCCGTGTAGGACTGTTGGCGCATCCTGACAAGCTCAATACGGCCATCAGGATGCGCTACCACCTTAAAAAATGAGGTCAAATTCATGATTAAGATGGGAAATTATTGACAACAGAATGTCAGGAGGCCAGTTTAATGCCTCAATTGAATAATGCTCCTTTTTACAGGGGCTGGTTTTATGCTTCATCAAAAGGTTGCTACTTTTTACAGTCTGAAGTCTGCATCGTTATACTAAGACTTTTGGACCCATACAAGTCAGGGAATGAGCACCCCCTGCTGGCCAGAATAAAAATAGCTCCAGCAGCAAGCTAGTTTTCCACAACGGCCTACCAGCCATCAGAATGTGCTACCGCCTTCAAAAAAAAAAGAAAAAAAAGGGGAAAGTCAAATTCGTAATTGAGGCGGGGAATTCATGAAAACAGAATGTCATGAGGCCAGTTTAATGCCTCATCTGAAGAATGCTCCTTTCCACAGTCTAAAGTCCACGTCATTATATTAGGACTTTTGCACCCATTCAAGCCAGGCAATGAGCACCAGGCAATTAGGCTGGACTAAAACTACACTGAACAAAATTATAAACGCAACACTTTTGTTTTGAGAAATAGGCCTTTTGTGTACATAGAAAAAGTCTTAGATCTTTGAGTTCAGCTCATAAAAAATGGGGGCAAAAACAAAAGTGTTGCGTTTATAATTTTGTTCAGTGTAGAACAAGGTTTCATTATACTTCTAGACTTTTACAAAGCATTTGATTTGGAAGAACATCCCTTTATATTTGAAACATTAAATCATTTTGGTTTTGGTCAGAAGTTCACAAAATTAATTAGCTTACTTTATAATGGCATCAGACCATGGCACATGCTCACAATTTGCATTAGACAGGGCTGTAACAGCTTTCCATATTATTTATAATGGTTGCTGAATTACTGTATATTATTAGAATAAATTACTCTCATGGTTTTAATATAATGGGAAAACACATCATAATAAGTCAGTTTGCGGACAACAAGACTTTATTTCTAAAAGATGAGAGACAAATTTCTGCAGCAACAGAATCAGTTAATCAGCTCTCAAAAGCATCAGGTGTTACATTAAATATTAACAAATGTGAAATTCTTGCTCTGCATGATCAACCAGTACGCTTATAATTAATAATATAGGTTAAAACAGAAGTCAAATATTTGGGCATTACGGTTACACGAAATAAAGAAATATGGGAAAAATAAAACATCCTTAAAAATATCAATAAATGTAAAACAATATTGAACTCATGGCTTCAAAGGGATATAACAATTTTCGGCATGGTTTTACTATCCAAGATGGAGAGTATATCGAGAGCTATTTACCCTGCTTTTTCATTAGCAATTTCAGACAATATGTTCAAAGATAAATTTCAACTTTATCTGGAAGGATAAATGCCATTATATCAGAAAAGCTGACATGATCAAGAGTATTGAAGAGGGTGCATGAATGTCATATATTTTGCTGTGATGAATGGTGTACTAAGATTGAAGTGGTTGAATTCCTAGTTTGTCATAAAGACTCCTTTTGGTTCAGTATACCCAATGTAATTTTCCCAAAAAATGGGCGTAGTTGATTTTCTACTGCGCTGTGACTATATGATTTATATAAATTACATGTACAATTATCTGACTTCCATCAGCAAGTTCTTCTGTACTGGAAATTATTATTTAAGCGCAATTTCACACCCCAAAATGCACCCTTATGGAACAACAGGTATATTCTGAGAATTAGAAAATTTTTGTTTTTAGGGACTTGGGTGTAAAACGGAATATGGGCAGTAACACATTTAATGGATTTTTCAGGTTTTTCAGAAAAAGTTTGACATTTTTTACATTTTGTGTATCAAATATGACACAACAGATTTTATGGTAAATACAAAGCTATCAATACTTATAGGTGAGAGTGATTGAGAGCGTTATAGATTTTTTATGTAATTATTTCACTACACACCGAGTACAAAGTGTCTATTTGTCATAGTCATGTCTGTTAACTCTGAGACAAAGTCAGAGATGTGGATGTTTGAAGATATGGCACAACAGATCACACTGGCCAGACAAACAGCAATAGTTAATTACTTGCTGAGTAATGCAGATTTAACAGAACATACTTCTCAAACAGAGATCCTTTTCTCTTTAATGTTAATAAATAACCTTGAAAAAGTCAAAACCATGATTGTGCTTTCACAACTGGGTTGTCATTTTGCTAAAAATGTCATGTTTTTATTGCAGTTTGAACACAAATTGCACTGGGACACTGGAATTATTTTCTCATACACATATTTTGTATAATGTATAGTGGCCTAGTAGGCAATTCAGTACAAATGCTGCCAGAAGTGAGGCTTCCATTGCAAAATCTGTCCTGCCATTGTAAATGTTTTATTTATTTTTTTACATTCGGTATTATCAGCCACATAGTGTACCCACTGTACAGTTTGTTTGTTATATTGAAATATGCAGTTGCATACATTGCTTCATGATTATTTATTATTGCTTTGTTCGTGTCATTTCTTCATTTCCCAAAAATTATGCCGCCCCTGAACTTATTACCAAAAGTCACATCTCGAAAATTAAAGATTAACCAGCGCTGCAGTCCAGTATAGGGGGGCATCTGGTATAAATTCTGGGAGAGCAGCACTTAATTATCTACAGCTGAAAACCTCACTTTTACTGGAACTGAAGTGTGAGCTCTACAAAAATTAAACTTCGTTTTTTACTTTGTCAGTGTGTTGTTGGAGCTTTTGCTCAGAGTGACTATGATGAAGATGATGGAACGGTAAATATGATTTATTATAATATTGTATGGAATTATAATGTTACATTTTGATAATATAGTGAGTATTGTTTGCTTTCTATCCCACTTTTTTAGGAAGACAAAAAATATATTTTTTTCAGACTCACTTCCAGAAAAGTAGTAAACTATCAATTCAAATCATATACCGTATAAATCATAGAAAAAAAATGATGAATAATAAATTAATACAAAAGGAATAATGTGTATCTGTGTGTATGTACTGTATATATATATATATACATATACATATATGTCATATGTGAATATATAGGACATATGACCTCAAATCATGCGAAAATTTGCAAACATTTACTTTTTTTTTAAATGCAGTGACATTTTTAGATGCCTTTTGAATTGATTTTAGCCTAAAGAAATCCTAGATCCCAGGGGTCATCGTCCTGTCAGTAGAGGTCATGAGATGT